GGTGTCCTCACCGGGACGCCAACCACCAAGACACCTGCAGCCTATATGAAAACATTTTTATGAGATCTAGCAGGTTAAACGAGAGACACCTTCATGAAAGTGAAAACTCTGACAGAGCTCTTCAGGGTCTCTGGACACCAAGTTTGCGTCTGTTTTTCTCACTGAAAACTGTGACATCATCACTGTGTTGTCATAGTGACGTCACATGTTGAGAGCTGGAGGTGCATTCAGGCGTCTCCCAAAATTCAGAATAGAAAGAGGGAAGTGGGTGCCCGCTCACCATAATCTGACATCACACTCGTCTGTGTCTGTGTGTGATGTGATGTCATTTTTCACGTTTGTCATGATCAAAAAGGGAAGTGAGACACTGCAGTAAAGCGTGAGAGCAGATCTGCACTTCGCACTTCCTTTATCAAATAAAAGCGTCCTTTGGACGCCGAGCAGCTGATATATCGATTATTATTATCTGTACATGAAGCTCTGATCAGGATCGATACTGCCATTTAACCTGTGACGTCACTGGTGCCTTAATATTCAGCTTCTTGACGTGTTGTTGTGTTAACGTCCAGTTCTTCAGATTGTGGCATCTTAATATTGAGTTTTTTATATTTTGTCCTGTTAATGTCTGTCCTTTTTTTTTTTTTTTTTAAATGGCCTGTCGTCTTAATATCGCGTTATTTGATGTTCTGGTGGGTTACGGTTCGGTTTTCTGACGTCACGTTAAAGCTGTGGGCTTTTATTTTGTAGTCCGTGCTGGATGCGGCTCTTATTGTGGAGAGCTTGCTGCGGGAGCGCCCGCTGAGCTGTGTGTCCGTCTGTGTGTCCGTCCGTGTGTCCGTCCGTGTGTCCGTTAGTGTGTCCATTAGTGTGAGTTTACAGTCTGCGGACTTGCAGCTGAACTTTCTCTCGGGTTCTGTTCGGTTCGGTTTAATGTCTCCGGTTCCTGCTGTTAGCTGTTAGCCTTTTAGCTTCAGTTCGTGCCTACTTCGGCAGCATGTCCGAAGCAGACCGGAGAGTCCGGTACCTGTACCAGCTGCCGTCCTCCGTCCTCTGGGACTTCTGTCGGGTCATGGATGGACTGTCGGACCTGGACTGGACCCGCTTCGGTGAGTCGGGACCAGAATCAGACTGTATGCTAACTGCTAGCAGCTAACCTGTAGCCGGAGAGAGGGTCGGAGTTTAAAGGGCTGTTCCCCCCGTTACCGACCCGCTCTACAGGGCTCAGGGTTCGGGTTAGGGTTTGGTGGACAGTGTTCAGTAACCTGGTGCAGGTAAGGGTTCGGGTTAGGGGGACAGGGTTAGGATTAGAGTGAGGGGTTAGAAGGACAGTATTCAGTAACCTGGTGCAGGGTTAGGGGTTAGGAGTCAGGTTTAGGAGGACAGTATTCAG